AATATTTATAACTTTTCTTAATATTGTTTTGGTAATAAATATTTGTGTCAAGAACTTTATTTGTAAGTATTTAACATAAAATAATAATTCCTAGATGAGAATGACTGTTTAGGTAAACTTTAAACCTTATATTATAAAATATTGACAAAAACCTAACAGTTTAAAAATAATGGTATAAATTACCTGAGGTTCATTGTCAATTTCCATTTTGTCGTCCCTTTTCTGTCCAGTTGATGCTGAATAATAACTAACTAATCTATCCACGTGGCGTAAGTCTTTAAGCTAAACAAATTATAGTTTCCCAGATAAGAATTGCTATTTAGGAAAACTTTAACCTTTATATTATAAATAATTCAGCAAAATATTGACAAAAACCTAATGGTTTTAAAATAATAGTATGAATTACCTGAGCTTTATTGTAATTTTCCCAAGGCAAACCAGTAAGCACAATATCCTGGACCATTGAGTATACTTCTAGAGGATCTATGTTCGTAGGCTAAAATAATAATAGTTTCCTAGATATTAATGGCTATTTAGGTAAACTTTAACCTTAACTTTATAAATAATTCAGAAAAATATTGACAAAAACTTAATAATTATAAAATACTAGTATAAATTACCTGAGATCCAGCCTCAATTTTCAGTTGTTCTTCAGTTTTCAGTTCTGCTGGAGCTAAATCAGAATCTTCAATCTGTGTGTTGATAGGTAGTAATTGCCTTGTTATCGCCGACGTTATCCTATCTTCAACCATTTTTTCTACGGGTACATTTTTTATCTTGCAAATGTATTCAAAAAGTTCCCCATATCGTTTCAGATTTAAAAACTCTTAAACAAAAAAATTAAAATGTTGATTATATATATATACTCGTATGTTATGTTATTATATGGGCATGTGGTGCAGTGGTTAACACAGTTGAAGAAACAATTTATTTTATCTGAAGATGTATATTTCTTTACAATGATGTATTTTTATTTGTTTAAATTCGTGGCCAAACTACTGAGTGCATTTTTTCCTCCATTTGAGTTTTTTACTCCTTTCGGACGTTAATTGTTAAACACTTTTGAAACTCATACACTGTTTGATAACATCGAAAGCTTAATAATTTGTGTTGTTAAAAAAAAAAACTACAAAAGAAACTTAGATATTTTAATTTATTTAAATGCGAACGAGAATACTTCCTTTAAACCAACCACTTTACAGTTTCGCTTTAAAGATAAAAAAGTATTATGTAATAATATATAACGTATATTATAGTTAATGTTTACCGTAATACTTAATGTCGTTTTCTGGATGAGCTTCGAAGAAACCTTTAAAAATAGGTTCAAATTCCTTTAGTTCACCCATATATCTAAGAAAATATTCCTTTTTAATGTCTTCAGCTTCTTCGACATTGGCACGTTTGATCCACTCATAACAATCATTGAACGAATTTTGTAAATATGAATATATCTCAGCTACCTCAGCTTTACTATTTTTTTCAGTTGGAGTTGAAACAGGTGCTTCATCTGTTTGTTTTTGGCTATCTACAAATAAAAACAATAGTTACTTATTATTATGAGGCTAACCCGCTTGTTAAAAGTTTTTACTCATTAATAAGCGATTTGTACATTTACTAATCGGTCGCCAATTAATAATATATACATATCTGTTACTTTGTAAATTACTCCTATTAATCATCATTTCCACTCATTTCGTTTGAATTTGTTTTTTTTTTGTAGTGTTAGTTCGATGGTTACACTAGTAATATATTATAAGTTTACAGTATTTTCGAAACAGATATACTTTGTTAGGATTCGATGTGTTAATATAGTTTTATTTCTACTGTGCTAAATACTTTGATTTTTCACAAAAAAAAAAAATTAAACTTATCATAGTTATATACAGAAAAAGACTTTCATGTAATGTGAACACGTTGTCTTTTTTAGAATATAGTATGGCATGCCCCTATCCGGAAATTTAGTTCAAATGCCAGTTAAACTTTTCTTTTTTAATTATATTGTAAATACTTTTTGCGTTGACAACGACACACTGACATTTTTTTGAGCACAGAAAGTACACGAATTCCAAAACATAAAATATTCATCTCATAGTAAAAGTGCATTTATGTCTAATATTTTCATAAAATATATTTTTAGTTATCTGCTTAATCAAATAAAATGATATTTCAACCAAAACCCAGGTCTGTTTTAGATAACAAATTTGTTGATTATTTTGTAATTTGTAATATGATTAAATAAAATTTATTTTAAGTATTTTTTTGAAGGAATTAATTAATTCATTTTTTTTAATCATCAACTAAATTATATTTAATTACCTTCGTATAATTTTGCAGAGCGCCGGGCACCCAACCTGAAGGGCAAACGTTCAAATTTTAATATATATTTTACTTACAAAAACTCTAGGCTTGATTACATTTTTTACATACATTTTGAACCAGAAATAATGTTCAAAAAATTACTTACCTACTTAATAATGAACGAAACATACTTCTTTTGGGCTAAACAAATATTTAAATGAAACATTTATTATATTCAATGAATTTAACTTAAATGATTAAGTAACGATTCTAACTTTAATGTAGAATATAAAAACATTTTTTTTAACAAACAATTTTAAAATCAAAACAGATTATAAATATTTACGAAAACAATTTTATTTGTAAGTCTTCAAGCTAAAATAAAAATAATAGTAGTTTCCTAGATAAGAATGGCTATTTAAAAAAAATTCAAACTTTATATTAGAAATAACTCAGCAAAATATTAACAAAAATCTAATAGGTTTAAAATAATTGTACAAATTACCTTAACATCGGACTCAGATTTCTTTAGCCTGTGGTATCTTAGGTTCTGTTTATTTGGTACTGGTCATCAACAAATAGAAGCAATAACTACTAATTATTGTTAATAATAAAACAACTATGAGTTTTTTACTCATTAAAAAGTGATTGTAAATTTGCCAATTCCGACACCAAATAAATAGTTTAAACTACATTAAAACCCACATAACTACTAACTGTTAAATCTACTTTTTTCACTGGTTATATTAGGTAATTTTGAATTGGCCAAACGGACATGAAATAAATAATGTATACATAACAGTTACTTTTAAGCTTCGATGCAGAGCTGAGAGGGTAGTGGGTTTAAAATGATGTGTGTTTTAACATGACCCCTGGACCGATTTACACGAGTAGCAGCTCTATAGATCCAAAATAGTATGCAAATTGTCAATTGGTAGGTCCAAAATCGAAAAAGTCGGCTTTTTCACCCACGAAACCAGCAAAAAAAGTCCGATCAAGTTTTCGGCAAATTTAGTATAAATGCCAGATAAATATAACATTTTTTTTTAAATTTGTGTACATACTTTTTGCACTGACTTCACCACCTGTTTTAGCGCAAAATGTACACAAATTCAAAAAAAAAAAAAATTCATCTGGAAGTAAAATTGTATTTATGTCTAATATTTTAATAAAATATAATTTTATTTATATTTATAATCAAATAAAATGTTATTTCAATTAAAACAAAGTCTGTTTTAGGTAACAAACAGTTAAAGGTGTTGAATTTTTTTGTAACATATTTAAATTTAATTTATTTTAAATGTGTTTTCGAAAAAATAAATAAGTGTTAAATTTTTTTTAATCATTAACCAAATTTAAATTTACTACCATCGTCTGATCCATAACCGGAACACCTGGAGTGTAAACGTTTAATTTACAATTTATAGATTACACAAAAAAAAAATTCTAGGTTTGATCACATTTTTTTTTTTACAAATTTTGAACCAGAAATAATGTTTTAAAATGTACTTACGATGCATACGCTACTAGACTAAGTAAAAGAATAATCTTGATATTCATCATATTTAATATCATACAGGTAAAATACTTAATGGTTATAATATACTGTTCAACTCGACTGTAATATCATACTGGGTGCAACTACAGAATTAATAAGACTAAATGTTGGTATTATTCTCCATTTTTTTGACAAAGTCATTTTAATTTTTTTGTTAGGTTTGTATACACAAATGTGCTATTTTTTAATTTTTACCGCGCTATATCATTTGATTATGTACAAAATGAAATACTTCAAACTTTTATTAAAAACAGTGTAAATTGGCCACTTTGCCTAGTCTAGCCAGCTAGACGAGTAGGTCCGTTACAGGGAAAAATCAGAGGAGATTCTTGGCGATTATTGTTTATACAATTTATTTTATTTTATTATTATCAGCTAAGCAGCTAAATCGCTTTCTTCGTGTAGAACTCCATAGGTTATAAATCGATAAGACAAAACTTAAATTTAAAAAATAATAATAATGTGTCTAAATGGCTTTGTAACGTTTTCTGTTTATTTTACAGTGTTTTTTAGTATAAGTTTGAAATATTTCGTTTTGAAAATAATCAAAGATAGCGCAGTAGAAAATACTGGTTCGTGTCGAGGGACACACGTTTGGAACGAAGTCCCTTTCGTATGCAGGTTTGGTATAATTAATCATTAACGTTTACAGGTTGAATTCTAAAATAGTGCAATTATACAAAAAAAAAATTGTTATTCAATCATCAGTACGAGAAGTATAAATAAATGACGAAAAACCGAATGCAATGTAGGTGTTATTAAGTACTTTTAAGGGTAAAAATGTATTCTGTAGTAATAAAATATAAATATTTTATAAGTTTTTAGACTTCTTGCAATATAAATTACCATAAAAGTTGAAAAACTAAGTTGTAAAAAAATGCAAAAATTGTTGAGAGGGTAGCCGGATTTGAACCAGGTACCACTCACTCCTGGGAACCGATCACGTTCGACCGCACCACATAAAGTTTTCATAACGCGTTACATATTTTCTCGGCTAGGTCCCCTCACCAACCCGCCATAAGGAACTTCGTTCCAATAAAAACATAACACATTTGTGTAAGCAAACCTAAAAAAAACTAGAAGTGACTTAGTCAATAAACTGTAGAACAATAACTACATTTTGTCTAAGAATTCTGTAGTTGCACTCACTATGATATTACAGTCGAGTTAAGCAGTATCTTATAACAGTTGAATATTTTACCTGTATGATATTAAATATGTTGAACATCAAGATTATTCTTTTACTTAGTCTAGTAGCGTATGCTTCGTAAGTATTTTTTTAAATATTATTTCTAGTTTAAATTTGTAAAAAAAAAAAATGTAATCTAACCTAGCCTATTTTTTGTGTAAACTATACATTGTAAAATGAACGTTTACTTTTCAGGAGTACTGGCGGTGCTGGATCGCCGGACGATGGTAATTAAATATAATTTGGTTAATGGTTAAACAAATTTTAACATTAATATTTTTTTCGGAAAAACTGTAATATATTAAAATCAGCAAATATAAAAAAATTATCTCTATTCAAGTAACATTATAATTAAAATTTAAAATTAATAAAATAATAATAAACGAAAAACACTGCCGATTTCATCTATTATTCAAAAAAGAAAGCCATACAAAAAATAATATTATCTTTTTCTCTTTTAAATTATATTATTACAAATAGCGCCCAACCAAGCTTTTACTTAGTAAATTGTTTAAATACTTAACACTTACGATATTTTATTATTTTTGAAAATATAACAAACAAAACTTAGCAAAAATCATTATCTAATTTTTACTTATCTTTTTTAAAATTTTTTCATTATAAATTATATATATTTAATAAATTCGACTGTACTGCTATTATCCATTGTACCTAAAACATTATCAATACTGTCGTGGTCTTTGAAACCACATCGCCGCAATAGAAATCCTAAAGCACATCAACCAGATTTAGTGTTACAACATTTTTTCTTAAAGCCAGCCCAGCCAGCCACATTGCCGTAGCCAAAATTCGTAACTCTGTCGTGACCTTTGATCAGTCACATTGCCACAGAGATCAACCCGCAACTTTTCGAAAATTGTAGTGGTCAAACCATATCACAACAATATAATTTCAAAGACCTTTAATCTTCGCAGCCCTCGAAACAGTTGCATTGCCGCGATTTGTCTGTCAAATAAGTACCCAAAAGTAACCAAAAAATGTATTTCTCATTGTAAAACCTCTCATCATATAGCTAGTATTTAAAATGTGTTAAAAACAAAAATCATATTTGGCTGTGCCATTGCGAAGCTCCTCGAACATTTTATCACAATATTTTAACTTATAAAATTACAAGGCATTATTTTTTTTTTTCATAACAAATAAAAACATTTTTGGCTCTGCCATAGCGAAGCTCCACAAAAATTTTTTATATAATATACAAAAAATTATAAAAAAATAATTATTTACCGACCGTTTTTCTCAGCCAAAACACATCATTTTTTGTTCATCGCACAGGCCGAACCAGTGATCCGATAAGCAATTAAAAAAAAAAGTATGAATTTTTCATGTAGTTTACTTAAGATCGGTTAGAGTATTTATTTCAATTTTTAATTTTAACCATTGCTAAATTTTATTTTTAAATTTGAAATTGTATAAAATGTTCAAACGTGTTTTATGCGTAGTAGGAATAAGATATCAAAAAAGTACGCTGACCGATCTCAAGTAAACTTCATGACAAATTCAAATCTGTTTTCAGATTACTTATCGGATCACTGGTTTAGCTTGTGCGATGGACAAAAAATGTACCATTATATTAACTAAAATGGCTCTTACTTATAGACAAAATTATTAAAATTAAAAATAATACCATGAAGCTTATATAAATGAACCGGTAAATCAATTGACATGGTCGAAATTTATTAAAACTACGTTTTTGTTAAATATTACCTATATAAAACTCATAAAAAATGGTCGGTATCTCCTCGAAAATGTTCTTAATAAATATTAAGACATAAAGCTTTTAAAAATATCTTTAGATTTATTATTACGCAAATTTCAAAATGCCCAAATTGTTCACAAACTTCAATACTTATATTAATTTAATACAAAAATATTCTAGCTATGTCCAATCTATTCACAAATATAAATTCTTCAAAATATTAACGTATTCAAAAACATTTTTTGGCTTCGTCTGAATTGTATCTATGTCCAAAACTTTCAGAAATATAAATACTTAACTATTTAATATTATATTTATTTTAAACATGTTCTGTCCAAATTTCCATAGGCATATTAACACACATAGGCCCAACATATAAAAATAATAATATTAATGCTGATAAATAAAGTATGATTAATATAGGCCAAATACATAAAATTAAAACCGATAAAATTACGATGAATATACAATTATATAAATATAGCAATAAACTAAATAAGAAGAAGAATTTTTCATTAAATATTAAAAAACATTTGAAATAAAATACATTTTTATACGATTGAAATAATATTTTATTTGATTATGGAAATAAATAAAAAATATTTTACTAAAATATTAGACTTAAATGCAGTTTTACTTCGAGATTAATGTTTTGTTTTTTGGAATTCGTGTATTTTCTATGCTAAAAAAAATGGTGAAGTCAGTGTGACTTTGTCGGCGCAAAAAGTATGTACAAACATTTAAAAAAAAAAAATAGAAAATTTTAACTAGTGTTTTAACTAAATTTGCGAACAAAGGAATGCCTAATAAATACTCGATCCGACCATTTTTCGCTAAATGATAGCAAGTTAAAGTTAAATGTTGTAAAACTACAAATTTTTTTTTTGCGGGTTCCTCCGAAGTAAGGTAGTAAGTAGTTTAAATTATTTATTTGGCGAGGGAATTGGCAAAATTACAACCAGGTATTTACAAGTTAAAAACTCAAAGAATGTTATTTTGACTCATAATAACACTAACTAGTAGTTATTTTTATTTGTTGATGACTAGGGCCAAAAAACCAGGAGCCAAATCTCTCAAAAAATAAGAATTCTGAGTCTAATGATAAAGTAATTATACTGTTAACTTAAAATTATTAGTTTTTGTCAATATTTTTTTGAATTATTTATAATATAAAGTTTAAAATTTGTTTAAATAGCCATTCTCATATGGGAAACTATCATTATTATTATTTTAGCTTAAATACAAGCAAAGTAAAATTCTTGTCATAAATATTAATAATCAAAACAAGTTTTTAATTTTGTACGGTAAAAAATTGTTTTTATAATAGTATAATAGACTAAAGATAGAATCGTAACATAATCATCTGAGTTAAAGCCATTCAATATAATAAATGTTTTACTTAAATATTTGTTTAGCCCAAAAGAAGTATGTTTCGTTCATTATTAAGTAAGTAAGTAATTTTTTGAACATTATTTCTGGTTCAAAATGTATGTAAAAAATGTAATCAAGCCTAGAGATTTTGTGTGTAAAATACGTATTGAAATTTGAACGTTTACCTTTCAGTTGTTGCAACGTACGTGCAAAAAAAAACGAAGGTAATTAAATATAATTTAGTTGATGGTTAAAAAAAATTAATTAATTAATTCCTTCAAAAAAATATTTTAAACAAATTTTACTTAATTATGTTACAAATTACAAAATAATCAACAAATTTGTTATCTAAAACAGACCTGGGTTTTGGTTGAAATATCATTTTATTTGATTAAGCAGATAACTAAAAATATATTTTATGAAAATATTAGACATAAATGCACTTTTGCTTTGAGATGAATATTTTATGTTTTGGAATTCGTGTACTTTCTGTGCTCAAAAAAATGTCAGTGTGTCGTTGTCAACGCAAAAAGTATTTAACAAGTAAAACAGTAAAACTTTTAACAAGCGGGTTAATAATAATAAGTAACTATTGTTTTTATTTGTAGATAGCCAAAAACAAACAGATGAAGCACCTGTTTCAACTCCAACTGAAAAAAAAAGTAAAGCTGAGGTAGCTGAGATATATTCATACTTACAAAATTTGTTCAATGATTGTTATGAGTGGATCGAACGTGCCAATGTCGAAGAAGCTGAAGACATTACAAAGGAATATTTTCTTAGATATATAAGTGAACTAAAGGAATTTGAACCTATTTTTAAAGGTTTCTTCGAAGCTCATCCAGAAAACGACATTAAGTATTACGGTAAACATTAACTATAATATACGTTATATATTATTACATAATACTTTTTTATCTTTAAAGCGAAACTGTAAAGTGGTAGGTTTAAAGGAAGTATTCTCGTTCGCATTTAAATAAAATAAAATATCTAAGTTTCTTTTGTAGTTTTTTTTAACAACACAAATTATTAAGCTTTCGATGTTATCAAACAGTGTACGAGTTTCAAAAGTGTTTAACAATTAACGTCCGAAAGGAGTAAAAAACTCAAATGGAGGAAAAAATGCACTCAGTAGTTTGGCCACGAATTTAAATAAATAAAAATACATCATTGTAAAGAAATATACATCTTCAGATAAAATAAATTGTTTCTTCAACTGTGTTAACCACTGCACCACATGCCCATATAATAACATAACATACGAGTATATATATATAATCAACATTTTAATTTTTTTGTTTAAGAGTTTTTAAATCTGAAACGATATGGGGAACTTTTTGAACACATTTGCAAGATAAAAAATGTACCCGTAGAAAAAATGGTTGAAGATAGGATAACGTCGGCGATAACAAGGCAATTACTACCTATCAACACACAGATTGAAGATTCTGATTTAGCTCCAGCAGAACTGAAAACTGAAGAACAACTGAAAGAGGAGTCAGACGACGTAGCTAATTTATGCTATTATATAACATAAATGTTGATATTTTCCTAAATAATCATTTTTATCTAGGACAAAATTATTGTTTTAGCTTAAAGACTTAGAGCCCGGAATAACAACAAATGAAGTTCCTGTCTCAGCTCCACCTACACAGACAGCTAAAGATATACTGCAACAAATGAAAGATGAACTGAAAGAAACTAAATCTCAGGTAATTTATAACATTAATTTATATCTGTTCTGTTTTTGTCAATATTTTGCTGAAATATTTATAATTTAAAGGGTAGAGTTTTCCTAAATAGCCATTATTATCTAGGAAACTATTATTTTTTTAGCTTAACGAAGATAAGAATAATATGATACAAGTAATAAGAGATTGGAAGATTAAGAATGAAGTTCCTGATTCATCATCACCTTAATAGAAAACTGAACCCGAACTGGAAATTTGCGCTGGGCCTCAGGTAATTTATATTATTATTTTAAATTTATTAGGTTTATGTCATTATTTTACTAAATTCTTTGTAATATTAACGTTAAAGTTTTCATAAATAGCCATTCCAATTTAGGAAACTCTTATTATTATGGTTAAAGACTTAAAAATAAAGTTCTCGTCATAAATATTTATAATCAAAACATAATTAAGAAAAGTTTTTAATATTTTTTGTTAAAAAAATGTTTTGATATTGTTTTTATAAAATAAAGTTAAAATTGTAAAAAATATAACAATAATAATTTATATTTTGGTTACTAAGTTATAATAATTTTTTTTTCAACATCTGAAGTGTATTCGTGTTATATTATAGTAAAATGATATTTAAAATTGTTTTTATTTTTTAATTTAGGTAATAAAAAAGCGACAGTAAGGCCACTTCCATCTTTCTACACACTTCTTCAATAAATTTTAATATGGAACCGGCGATGACTAAGAAAACTTTTTAGCCGATTAATATAATAATAATAATTACTATGTTAATATGTTTTTAATAATGTTAAAAATCTCTTAAAATGTTTTTGAAAAAATTTTTCAAAGTACAATATTTCTAAATGTTTTGTATGACTCCAAAACCAATTTTGCTTTTCAAATAAACACCGCTTTCTTACATTTTGTGCAACTTTTCAATATGCAAACACTATTAAGTACAACACGTACTTAAAGCAGTTTAGTTATCTAAATGAACGTTACCTGCTTCTATCTACTGGGTACTCAATAATTGTTATAATATATTGTGATGTATTTATCCTCGTTAGATAAGTGTAAACTAACAATCATGGTTTATTGGTTACATTACCATACCGTTTTTGACCAGCTAAAAGTTTGATTCACCCTACTGAAGCTCTGCCCTAATATTTATGGAAATTTATCTACTCATTTCCAAATAACGTTAAAATTACAACTGTTACAATTTTGATATTTATAATTATTTCTAAATTATTTTCTGTACGAATGTTAGAACATTTTAAAGAAAAAAATATTATATACCTTTAAAAATAAAAATAAATAAATACAACATTTTAAAAACACAATAAATGTGTTAGTTACTAAGTCAAAATAAAACAACTTGCTCCGACGTAGGGTAAATTTTTACATACCAGGTTAAAATTTGTATAGGTAATATGAATTTTTATTTTATTTTTGATACATTTGGTATTTAAAAATAAAAAAAAACCCATCCACTGCATTATCTTGATGTTGGTCATTCGTTTTCTAACGAATTGTCCAGTCCAGAATGAGCCCACGGTCTTACTTCCTTCCATCGGACAGGCGCCTCGGATATGTAGTAAAGTTTTTATGATATTGTTCCCACTGCAGATTTGAAAACTAGAGTGGCGGCTACACTGTGCCTGCCCTTTCTACGATTAGTCATTGAGTTCGTTGATGCCTTTATGGCATTAGACCATTCAATCTTGAGAGACCTTCTTTATTTAGTAAACCAACAGCCACTTTACACACACGAATATTCATCTCTTCATCAACTCAGACCCTTTGTCACTAAAATGTTAGTCCTGTCTAGATGATTATAAAATTCTGAATTAATCTCTTCATTTTCATCCTAACAGAAGTCATGAATAAACTAATTATTTCCAACAGCGATGATTAGTAACACTAATAATCACCGACTACTATGGTAGTAAAAAGACAGTACAGTAGGGACGGGGCATAGTGGGGACGAGGAGATCACGGGTCTACAGGAATTGTTTTAACTGAAAGTGATAAAATCACTTTTAAATAAATGCTTCTATGCAGATCTGTTGTATGGTAGGTTCAAACCAGCACAGTATGTAAGTATTATACGTAAGTGAGTAGTAGTAATAAGTAGTAGAAATAGTAGTAAGTAAGGGAGGTTCAGTTTTGATAGATAAAAATACAAATATCGACAAAAGCATTATACCTAATGACAATTATGTGTTTAAAAAATTAATTTTTAGTATTATGGTGGATACGATTAGGGTCGATCGTCTGTCTATAATAATGTATGGTCATATTGAAACAGTTGGCTACTAATTTAAGTATAATATAATTATGATTATTATAATAATAATAAGGAAAGATTTTTTTTCAAATTTAGTTTTAATACTTTTGATATAAATCGGCAATATTTATTAAAAATGTTAGAATTAGTTGTTTAGAAGATCATAATATTAATTTTAACGTTTTGGGCTTTCGCACCTACTCAATGAAACTTTACCTCCCTTAACAAATACAATATATAAATTATCATAAATATGTACATACATCTGCTTCGTGCTAGTTTTAATTTTTTAGTTTATAATTTTGTAGCTCTAATTTTGTATAAAATATTTCATTATTTTATTACTGTGTTCAAGTTAAGATATATTTTAATAGTATTTAAAAGTCATGAATGATAGTACTTTATTTTATGACTAGATCAAATCTCGTTACCATTTAACATCATACTGCTGCTATACTATTATTAAAATCTCCATAAAAGGTTATTGTTAAATAACAGTTAACAGCCGACCGCTAGTAATATATGTAGGTAAAATGTATTGTTTTCTCCATCACAGTACCAGAATACGATTTATTTCAATTTAAATGTAGGAAAATCAATTTTTCTTTAGAAAATAACAAGAAATTAATATACAGGATGGGGTAGTAAAACGGCGATTTTCTAATGTATTTAAATGGGACCCGTTTAGGGAACCTACCCGTTTCACTATCTCACCCCTTACATTTTAAGGATCTATGAAAAGGTTTTTTTAGTTGCATTTTATTTTGTACATTGTCAATCTAGTAAAATAGAAGTATGATATAGCTTCGAAATAATATAATCTATGAAGTATAAATAGTTTGTGTGAGATTGCTCTAATGGAAGTATATAATACATAAGTATTAATTTTATTGAGAATAAGCGATTATAATTTAAACTATGGAGTACAAACGATTGAAACATGAATCGTCAACAATTCCATCAAAATATAACAAGACATTGTATATGTGTTATTTGGTCCACTACGTTTTTGCAAAAAAAAAAAAAACCAGTACAGTGGGGTCGGGGCATAGTGGGGACGGAGCATAGTTGAGTCGGGGCATAGTGGGGACGGGGAGGTCACAGGTTTACAGGAATTTTTAAATCAGAAAGTGATAAAATCACTTCGATGCAAAAAAACGCTTCGATGCAAATCGGTAGTTAGTATTTTCAAGCCAGTGCAGTCCAAACCAAGCACAGTATAAACCAGCAAAGCAAGAAAGTTTTAAATTGCTTTGATTACATTATGCCTATACTGTACTAGTCCTCTCGGATAAAATCACTTTCAAATTAATGGCACAAGTTTTTTATACTTGCTATTATTGCATTTAGAAATAGCCAAACCGAACGATGATGCCTGAAATTAAAAAATCTGTTTCCTAAATAACCTAGAAAAGGTGCCAAAGTTACTAATCTTAAGTAGTCAAAATTTTGCCTGGCTTTTTGGTACAAAATCCTTTAATAAGTGATTTTCTTAAAAATGATCATTGAAATTAAATTTACAAACAAGACTTGTTCATTCCGTGTAAGTAAACTGAGTTTAGACACAAAACCAAAATTACTATCTTTTTTTGAAATTTTAACGTATACAATCGCCAAGTACACAAAAAAGTAAACCCGTTTTAACTTTTGAGTGCTGAGGCCTCCTATAATATCATTTTACTTTAAAATCTCTTAAGATTTTTTTTACTTTTTTTACCTCAAACAAAAACCGGATAAGACTTTCTGGAAGTTCGGATAGTACTGGAATTATGTAACGATTAAAAATCAGTAAATAATATTGAGATATGTTTAGGTAATTAACAAAACTTTCATTCAAAATGATAACATCTATTTTCTTTTATTTTTAAATTGAAATTGTGGTTTTCAAGATTTTTGTGTAATAATTGACTTGTTTTAATTAATAAAACTGTTGAAAACGGTTTATTTAATTTCGACAAGTATTTTGTATACATTCTGAATAATTGAAGATTAAAACTAAAATACAGGGGGAAATCGGTCAGTAGTACTAACAATTTTTTCAGGTAATTGATACAGTTCATTGAAAAATATTATAATTCCTGGAGGTGTGATTTTCATAACATCAGGGACATGTGTATTCTTAAAAGTGAACAAAATTGCTGCGTTTACTCCTGGAATCCGTCTGCATTTATACTGTGTGAAATTACTCCTATTCTCGGCACGTGCAATAGGAGTTTTTATACCAACTGGCCACGAGTCTTCCGTGCAGCGATTAAGATAAGGTGGCACATTAATATCAGGTGGACATTTTCTGTCCTCCAACGCATGTCGCATTGTTGATTATTGCAGCCTAACCGATTAACACCACTTTTTTCAAATTGCGAATAATAGTATGGTTGGATTAAAAAAGTGTATAATTTTCAGTGGCCAAGATAAATAACTCCATAGTTGAATTTTTCACCGCTACAGTGCGCTAAGTATACATTGACAATTGTACTTGGCGCACTAAGTACATACATTGTTTCAAATAACTTTAACTGCCTATCCTGAAAATGTTCATTTTATGGAGTTCATCAGTTTGGCTCCTGAGCGCATCATTTGACAATTTGTTTATAATTATTTCTATTAAATTACTGATTTGAATATTTTCAAAAAACCTTCAAACACATTTTGGGCACTTTATAGTTGGAAGTTGGATGCAGCTTATGCGTTTTTTTTCAGTACAGAAAAATTATTATTATTAATCCGAAATTCGACAAAAGACTGAGATTCCACTGTTAAAACTCAACCTATCAATTTACTTAAATAAAAAACGGTATAACACTGATTATCAGAAAATTAAAACATACATATTTCTTGAAAATTACTTAGCTTTAGTAATAATAGCGTTAAACAATTGAATAAATTATAATTACCTCTTTCGAAGAATCCATTGAATTCGCCGCCAGAATGTAATATGTCAAACACATCAGAATAATGATATTTATATTCATTTTTGCGGTAATAATAAATGCTACTAATTCTCATATGACACTTAACTCTATCAAATCTACTACACGAATGTTTCATACGCTCTCAAGAACAGTCAGCTTTGTAAAAGTTGTTGCCAAAATAATATTTACTTAGTTTTGTCAAAGAAAGACACGTTACATTTTACTGCACAAACACGAGCAATAATAATAAAAAACACTTTTATCTGTTGAATATAATGTATTACGATATTTTAATAAAAAAAAAAAAACCGATTCTTCGTGCCTTTTTTTTAGTGTAGTAAAACATTATACTACACCTTATATAATAGAAAATTGTTTTTCTTTAAATATATTTTTATTTATCGCACATATCAGAGTTACAGTCTGGGGAAATTTAGGCCATTTAAAAACTCTTACAAGGGTAGGTCACAGTGAAAGAGTGACGGTTTTTCTTCGAATTCTTCTTCTTCCATAGATATAAATCGCAATTCATCTTAATCGTTGTCATTTATAGTTCTCATGTCATGCAAAACCCTCTGTGAGGGTCTTAACTGATTTTGACTCATCGTCAACACGTTTTATAAATTTTAATAAAATGTTTTGTAATGGATTTAAGTCCCAGTTTAACAAGTTGTTTCTATTTTTCAACATTTCTATTGATTCCCCAGTATTAAGGTCTTTAGAGTTATTTACATATTTTAGTAATTTACTGTGCAAACATATTAAATAGGGTTTATGATAAATTGTTAAAAAAAAAACAACTTCAAGAAGACATTTTAAATGAAAATACCTATAAAAATGTTGGGTCGGTATATAGGTAGTTATAAATTATATGTTTTTCCCTCCCATTTTTATATA